TGGCGACTCTGTATCTGGCAAAGCAGTCCATGTTTGGCACTTCTTTCAAAAACTGTTTTCTCAAAACGATTTGCCGGATTTGGACTCTTTGGTTCAGATTTAGAACCGTGACAATTTGAGAGTCCTGAGCTGTAGTGACCCCAAATGAACAGAACGGGATTTCCCTCCCGGGGCGTTCGGGGACGTCTACAGGTGTGCTTTGAGGACCCTGCTCAAATTAAACAGGCTGTGGTGAGGCATTTTAGAAAGCAGTTTATGGAGAGTTGGTCTGTGAGGCCAAAGCTTTCAGGCCCTTTCAATATTATTAACTCAGAGGCAGCAGCTACCTTGGAAGCAGTGTTCTCGGAAGATGAGATTTGGGTAGCTCTTCAAGATTGTGATGGGAACAAGGCCCCCGGTCCAGACGGTTTTAATTTGGCATGCATAAAAAAGTGTTGGCCTATCATGAAAAGTGAGATTGTTCAAATGTTTCATGAATTTCACACAAATGCTAAGCTATCATCTGGGATTAATAGTCCCTTCATTGTACTTATTCCTAAGAGGGATAATCCTTCAGGATTGGGAGATTATAGGCCAATTAGCTTGGTCAGCTCCATCTACAAGATCTTGGCCAAGGTGTTGTCCAAAAGAATGAAGCAGGTTCTCTCAGCTGTGATTAGTGAGGTGTAGTCAACTTTTGTCAGAGGTAAGCATATTTTAGATGGTGTGTTGATTGCAAATGAAGTTGTAGATGGGTGGCACAGAGCTAGGAAGAAGGGCATTTCGAGAAAGCCTATGATTCATTAAGCTGGGAATTTTTGCTATCAATATTGGGTAGTTTTGGCTTTGGGGCTAGGTGGATTAGGTGGATGAAGACTTGTATTACAACAACTATGGTGTCTATATTAGTTAATGGTTCACCCACGGAGGAGTTTCAACCACAAAAAGGGTTAAGGCAAGGTGACCCTCTATCTCCATTTTTGTTCATTATAGCAGCTGAAGGCCTTAATCTTTTGTTGGGTAGGGCTATTGAGAAGGGCCTGTTTAAGGGTGCATCAATAGGCTGTGATCAGCTGGGCATCTCTCATCTTCAATTTGCAGATGATACCATTATTTTTTGTGAATGAGGCATGGAGGAAGTATTGAATATTAAAAAAGTTTTGAGGTGCTTTGAGGTGATCTCTAGATAAACTTCCACAATAGTGTTGTTTGTGGGGTGGGTTATCATGAAGACCAGACTAAGGAGTTTGCTAAGGTGTTGAACTGTCTGTCTAATAAATTGCCTATTATTTTTTTAGGCTTGCTTTTAGGGGCCAATCCTAGTGGAAAGAGTACTTGGTCTCCAGTAGTGGCGAAATTTTAGAAGAAGCTCTCTTCTTGGAAAAGGAGACTGTTGTCTTATGCTGGTAGACTGACTTTGGTCAAATCAGCCTTGTCTAATTTGCCTATCTACTTCCTGTCAATCTTTAAAATGCCAAAGGGGGTCGTAAAATCCATCTCTAAGATTCAAGCCAATTTTCTGTGGGGAAGTTCTGCTACCAGCAGAAAAGTGCACATGGTTAAGTGGATGGAGGTCACAAAAAAGTAAGAATCAAGGAGGCTTGGGAGTTAGGGACTTAGGTGTGGTAAATGAATGCTTGTTGCTAAGTGGTTGTGGAGGTATGCAGTGAGGATAAAACTCTGTGGAAATCAGTGATCTGCTCTAGGTATAGCAAAATAGGTGGGGGATGGTCACCTTCATTGAATCAGTCAGTAGGGGTCTCATTGGTTTGGAAGGATATCTCACAACTTTCTGTGGTTAATCAGCAAATGGGTGAATTTTTTGGTGAACATGTTAAAATATTAGTTGGCAATGGGAGGAGAATAAAGTTTTGGTATGATCCTTGGTTAGGTGGCAGAGGCTTGAAGGCTGAATTTCCTAGATTATTCAGTTTATCCACAGAGAAGGAGCATTCTTTGTAGCAGTTCAGTGCAAAGTTTGGTGCCTCAGGTGGGTGACAGCTTCATTTCAGAAGGAATCTCTTAGCTTCGGAAGAAGAGGATCTGCAGAGGCTGTTAGGCTTGCTGTTCTTATCTCCTAGTCTCAGAGATGGTGTTGAGGACTCCTGCTCCTGGTTGGCAGAGAAGACAGGGTAGTTTTCAGTTGCCTCTGTGTGGAGGTGGAGGGCTGCAGCTAGTGGGAATGGTCTGGTAGTCCCAGCAGGGGGTCTGGGTGAGACTGGCCCCTCCAAAGATGCAGTTTTTCTGTTGGTTGGCTTGGCGTGGCAGAGTTAAAACCTCATCCTACCTTCAAAGAATTGGGGCTCTTCATTTGAGTGCTAATAATCTGTGTGTTTTTTGCCAAGCTGAGATGGAAACTGTTGAACATGTGCTACTGCTGTGTCCTCTGGAATGGAAGTGCTGGTCTCACATGGTAGAGTGGTGAGACTAGGTTTGGGCTATTCCAGGTTCTGTAGAAGGCCTGTTGCAGTGGTGGTATGGTGGCAGGTCCAAATTCAAGTCTTGGGTACAAAGTTTGGCAGATTATTCCCTCTGTAGTCTTATGGTCAGTATGGAAGTTGAGAAACCAATGCTTATTTAAGGATGCTATTTCTGATCTCCAAGAACTCTGTGAACAAGTTAAGTTGCAGGTAGCTTTCTGGTCCAAATGGCACTTGAAGGTGGATTATTCAGTCCATGATTTAGTGTCCAATCTCTACCAGATCAAATTGCAGTAAGGTTCAATACTTCAGAGGTTTGTTGTTCAAAATGCAGTGGGCATGTGCTCTAGATTCAGGTGGGGTGCAGGTCTTTTGTCTAATTTAAATCAGACAAGGTTTGATAATGGGTTTGGATGGATGGTCTAGAGTTGTTGGTAGTTCATCTGGTATGTCTTGTTCTGCTGAATTTATATCTGGTGTGTGGCAGAGCTAAGTTGGTCTGGTTTTGGCCTTCTGTATTTTGTTGTTTGTTGCTGAATGGAGTGTTGTGTGCTGCTGGTTTTATATCTGGTGTGTGGCAGAGCTAAGTTGGTCTGGTTTTGGCCTCTTGTTTGTCTGGTTCGGGCTGATGCCGTTAGGCCTGGTGGTGGGGCCTGCTAATGCTTGATAGCTCTGTGTAGGAGGCTAGGCTGTGATGGGTGCTGTGTTGCTGTAAATTAGGTGGTTGGAGCTTAGTGTTGTGAAGGCCTCAAATAAACTGCTGCTGCAATTTAGCTACATGTAATGTGTTGAATGGATGCTATGATGCTTGGGTGCTGATGTTAAATGGATGCTTTGTGATGGAAGGGTGTGAATTGGTCTGGAGCTTCTTGTTAACTGCTGCTGCATGTTTTTTTTTTTTTTTTTTTTTTTTTTCTAGTTTGTGATGTTCTTCAGACAGAGATCTCTGTTTTTGCAGTAGTGATGGAGGCACAGTTTGTAGGTCTGCAGTGTTGTTGTGATGCTGTCTTCAATACCTCATGAGGCTTTGTGATGGAAGGGTGTGAATTGATCTGCTGATGCATGTCTATTTTAGTATCTAGGAGGTTGGTGCATGTCTATCTGCTGCTGTTTTTGGAAGTAATTATGTAGAGTGGAATTGATCTGCTGCTGCTGTCAATTAGGTGTTTTTGTGTTGTTGGTTTCTCACCAACTAGGAGGTTGGAGCTTTTTCTAACTCCAACCTCCTCTTTATTGGTGTTTGCCTATCATATCATATGTAATTTATATCATCAATAAAGTTTTTCTTTTGCCGATCAAAAAGAAAAAAAAGACGATGGAAGCTATATCTTTCAGTGTGGGTGAATCCTTGCCTTTAGCTGATAACTCCCCAACATTTGTTCCATTAAAGACGTTGATCCACACCTCACCTCTTGCACTGACCTATTTGCTTTATATGGTATGGCATTTGACTGTTTAACATAGAGCTTTTTCTTTTGATGGAATATTCCAAGTTTCACTTCTAGTTGTAAATAATTTATAGCCACTGTTCGGTTTGTCCTTGAAAGCTAGTTACCATGGTGTCTGTCCGAGGAGTAAATGTGCCCATGTACACCACCCTTAAGAGGACAACTGTGGTATGTACAATGCTGGTTTAGTATGTTCTGGCAGGGCAGAAGTACACCTTGTCTGTTGTTGGAAGGTAAATTGCTCTTTCTAACTGCTTCTTTTGCTTACAGTGTGTAGTATGCTTTTGGTCAGCAAGAGATGACAATGATTTTGACTTCATCTCTCAACCATGGTCAATGAATGTTTGCATATTCTAACCTTAGGAATGCACTTGATTGGTTGTTCTGAGGAGCTGAATACTAACATTGGAACATAATTTTTGAATTTAGAAGTCACTTGATACGTTTAGAAACATTAAAAATTGATAGCATTTACCGATGCATGTGCGAGGCACTTTTTCTTTCTTCCTTTTGAGTAATTTGGTAATATGACTTATCGTTTGGTTCATATTTTGGCATTAACATTATGATAAGCACCTATAAGCATGTATTTTTTAGCACACCATGCAATACAACCAGACCATTTTTTATGTGCATGCGTAACTTGTCTAATTTCAGATTTTTTTTTGCACAAAGATTCATATAGGCGCTATTTTGTTCTTGCTTTTACATAACCAAGCAATAATATGTGAAATGTTGATGTACAATGTTATTAACGGTGAAAGCTTTATGCCAAATTAGAACATGAAAATATTGATGCATTGCTCATGAAGTATATAGTCTGTAGTTAGAAAAAAAAAAGGTTTTACAACTAGAGTTTCAATTTTTTCTGTTTTTATGATGAGGAACCCTGTGTACGGGTTGGATAAACCTTGGATACACACACCTACTCACAAGACACTTGTATCATCATCAGGTAAGACTCGGCGCAATACCAGGTTGAGTCGAGTGTGGATCCAGGATATGTTATATGAATGACTTAGTTATGTGGTGTAATCCTAATTATTAATGATAATGTGAGGGAGCAAAGGTATTTGACCATACAATTTTTATGGAGAGAAATTATTTTGCATTTTCTGATTATAGCATACTTGCATTTTTGTGCTTAAAAAAAAAAAAAAAAAGAAGAAGCTTTTTTTGCTGTTTCGTTAATATATGATGTATCAAACAAAAACAAGAAACCAAAAAAGGGGATTGTCTGGCAATACTCAATACGGGAATACCAAATATTTAGGAAGTAGTTCACTGTACAATACATAATTTTAGTGACTATGGTTTAACATGTCATATTCCATCACCAGGCTATGTGTGGACAAATTCTTGAGTTCTGTTTGGTTTCACTCAAATCTGAGTATGAACTCTTGGGTTCTTTGGTACATCAAAATGTAAATAATAGTGCATAACATCTTGAGCTTTGGTTTGGATATTTGAATTTGTTCTTTATTTTTTATCTTTATTTTTTTTCCAACATCAAATAGATATTTCAACTTTTGCTTGAATTGTTATGTTTCTAATTCCTCTGTTTAACCAAAAACATAAGGTGTTATCAGTGTGGCATTGATCGTTATTGGTGCATTTATTGGTGGGGCTCGAGACTTGTCGTTTGATTCCTATGGCTATGCTGTTGTTTTTATGGCCAACATCACTACAGCAATATATCTCGCAACCATAGCCCGTATTGGTAGTAATTCTTCTGTTTTCACAGATCTTTTTCATCAGCTTCACATCTCTTCTTTTTTTTGCTGATACTTTCATTTTCACAGGAAAATCTAGTGGCCTCAATAGCTTTAGTCTCATGTGGTGCAATGGTAAGTTAATAGAGCTCAAAACAAACAAAAAACCTGTGGACATTACAAAACTTCTTAAATATGGTTCTTTTAAATTCTAGAACTGTGAGATAAAATCATTTTACTTTTTTGATGTAGGAATATTATGTGGGCCATTCTTATTGTTCTGGACATTTATTCGGGTTGACTTGGAGATTACATTGAATTTTCCATATCTGTTTTCTCCTGGCTTTCTGGTAATTTGCTGACCATGATAAAATTTCTTAGTTTAGTCCAATAATTGTTTCTGTGGTTGCAAACTTGATTTGGATACGCAGTAACATTGTCTCATGGAGACAAGAGGCTGGAATTTCATTTCTGTCCAATTTCATGCTGCTTTTCAAATGTGACCTGAAAATTGTTTTTAGTTTTCAAATGTCATTTGTGTTTGTGCTAGCATTTTATGTCATTAATTAGTTTCTGCATCTCTTTTTCTAATCTTTTCTGAACCTCTTAACGCTTTGTACGTTTGCAATTAATTAGCCTGGCTACTTCTTGTTGCATCAGCATTGAAGATAGATTTGCATAAGCATATCCATCACCAAAATCACCATCAATCATCTTCCACAGTGGTGACTCATGATGACTGCTTTTATCATCAATGTCCCCCCCCCAGCAGCTCAGTGCCCCCCATCTTACCTACTACCGTTAAGTCCATCAAATTCAAAAAGAACAATTTACTCTTGAATATTTTGACCAATTTACACAAAATTCATTTTATAGTCTCTTTTTTTTTTTTTAAAATACCATTTTCTTCAATTTTTAAAGTTTGAATTAAGCGTAACATTTAAATTTGAATCCTAATGAAATACAACATATGCATTCACGAGATGATAATTGAAGAATGAAAGAGGTACTTCCGAATCAAATTGGAGTTCTAATGGTGGTAGATGAAAACTAGAGAAATTGGATTTTGAGTGTTGTCTCTGCTGCTTGAATTGAATATCAGCTTAAAGCTGATGTGGTAAATTATTGATTGTTTCTTGTAGAAATTATGAAAGTTGACTAAGAAATGAGGATTTGGGTCTGATGACTTTGTCGGCAACATTAACTTTATTTGTAATACTTACTCTGTCTCAAAATAATAGTCTCTTTTGGGAAATTTAACTTTTTTTGATAATACAATTATTGCACATTAAAAAAATTAATTTTTCAAAATTACCTTTTGATAGTATATTTTTAGAGGAATATCAATTGTTAATAATTGTACTTTTTATGTTGTTAATGAATTTAAAAGAAGGGCAAAATAAGAAATTTATATTATTTTTATCTTTGATTTTTGAAAAGAGACTAATATTTTGAGACAATGAAAAAATAGAATGAGGGACCAATATGTTGGGACGGAGGAAGTAATCATTTTTGTATGCACTTATGTCTTGCTCTGTTATTGCAACAATGCTAACTAATTGGGATCCTCCGATTAAAGTTATTGCTCTTGTTGATTTGTCTGTTTATTGTAAATGGCAGGCTGTGTTACTTCTATCCTGCATACTGGCTTTCTTCTTGAATTACAGTATATTCCTAAACACAACTCGTAATTCAGCACTCACGCAGACAATTTGTGGCAATTTGAAGGTTTGTTTACCAAGTGCCTTTTTTCTACTTGCATGAACAATTCTCACAAATATGATTGTAGTCTTAGCAAATGTGCATCATTATGTGCTACCTACCCAATTAAATGAGAGTCTTGGCCCAACGGTAATGCTTGCCATTAGCATCGTTGGTGGTGACTGCATACATTTGGCCCTCCTTAGACCCTGCTTTAGTGATTTCGCGTGCACTGGGTTGCCCTCCACTACCTGCCCAACTAGGGTAGCCTAAACAAATAGTGCTGCTCTATGATCATCCAATTACACCTCCTTAGTTATTTTTTGATTTGTTCAAATTGTAATTAGATTAAAAATATTTATAAAAAAATGTTTAAATTCAGATGAGATGTAAGGAAATCTTTCTAGAGATGAATTGGGTTTAAATTTAAATTGATAGCCTACACTAGCATGTAAGGATGTACACCATTCACTCGGGCGAGTTCCTGCACATTTATTGGGAGTTTTGTTTTTTTGCTTGTACTGTAGACATCTTCATATTTCCTACCTTTCGAAGTCCAACCAAATGCTTCGGTCCTCTGAATTGTTGGTGGTTGTATTGCTGTAGGATCTTTTCACCATTGGACTTGGCTGGGTGGTGTTTGGTGGGCTTCCATTTGACTTCGTGAGTGTGAATTTTACTTTTTCTGTCTCCATATGGCACTACTACTGGACCTTTACTCTTTTTTCTTTTTCTTTTTTTATTTTATTTTTGTTTTTGCTTTTTAGTGTTGTTTTTAGGAGATAATCTGATTGTTTGGCTTGCAGGTTAATGTTGTTGGGCAATTGCTTGGTTTTGTTGGATCGGGTCTGTATGCCTACTATAAGTTCATAGGGAAGTAACTGCACAGTCTGCTTGAAGGCTAGTCTTTCATGCAATGGTGGTGATAGGTTTGTTGGCCTCATGTGGAATCCACAATTTTGATTCGATCATCATGGTGTTTTTGAAGGAGATATACCGGCTTTGAAGAAAAAATTGCACTCTGCTTAGGAATATCATAATTTTTGAAGAGAATCAAGTCATGCTTTTGCTTGATCTGAATGTTGTAAGCAGATTAGGTATCCGTTACATGTTGTAATTGATAATTGATATTCTTTTTACTCTAGTTGCAAAAACATCAACTTATTAGCCGAAAATTTGGAAAAACAAAATTGAGACTATAAATTTGTAGCAACTCTTCCCTAGTTTGCTACCTCTCACTTTGGTGCTCATTAACTGTAGTTTGCTACCTCTCACTTTGCTAACTCTTCCCTAGTTTGCTACCTCTCAATTTGTAGCAACTCTTCCCTAGTTTGCTACCTCTCATGCATTAACTGTAGTTTTATTTTATGTTTCTATGAACTTGATTACACTATGCAACAAGTTCGTTGTACTGATGGATTGCTAATCAGAAAAACAATGTGTGACTTGTAGGGATTCAACCGAGTTTGAAATAGTTGAATTATCAATGGATTGTTATGCCCTTTGTCTCAAAACAGTTCAATTTTACAAAAGAAAAAAAAATGAAAAATCGATGAATCTGATATTGACTCTCGGTCAAATGGAGTGCCAAACGAGAGGAAATGGTGATGTTTTTTGCTTTACTTGGTGTCCCGATATTGTGGATAGTGACAAAATGAATCTGAAGAATTCATGAACCAACCTACTTTTATCTTTGAATCTGAACCCAATGAAAAATCAAATCAAGGGCTCAAACTTAGTACTAGATTCATGAAATGGTGGGCACAAGCCATTATATAATCCTCGACACGGTGTTGAAGCATTATGTGGAATGAAAGGAATTGAATGAACTATGGTGAAATGAATTTGATAAACTTGATTCATGAACCAAAACTATTGATATTCTTAAAAAAGACAAGCAATACAATAGTTTGGGTTGACTGAGGAACCCTCGCCTCCAATTAACACAAGTGTTTAACAGTAAAATGACCATTCTCATTTTATTCATGACTAGCTACTCTTATATTGGCAGCCTCAACGTTCACAACCATGAAATTAGGAAAAGAAGTTAGACCCACTACTTTCCTTGAAACCAGGTCAAACCAACTACTAACAATTATCACTAAAAACTAGGATTACTTACTGCAAGGATAACAACCTAAATTAAAATATTATTTTGAAAAACAATAAAATAACAGTCACGTAATAGATTGCTAATCAGAAAAACAATGTGTGATTTGTAGGGATTCAACCGAGCTCAAAATAGTTGAATTATCAATGGATTGTTATGCCCTTTGTCTCAAAACAGTTCAATTTTACAAAAGAAAAAAAAATGAAAAATCGATGAATCTGATATTGACTCTCGGTCAAATGGAGTGCCAAACGAGAGGAAATGGTGATGTTTTTTGCTTTACTTGGTGTCCCGATATTGTGGATAGTGACAAAATGAATCTGAAGAATTCATGAACCAACCTACTTTTATCTTTGAATCTGAACCCAATGAAAAATCAAATCAAGGGCTCAAACTTAGTACTAGATTCATGAAATGGTGGGCACAAGCCATTATATAATCCTCGACACGGTGTTGAAGCATTATGTGGAATGAAAGGAATTGAATGAACTATGGTGAAATGAATTTGATAAACTTGATTCATGAACCAAAACTATTGATATTCTTTAGACTTTGTGTCTCATGAAAACATCAAATTGATGTTCAAATGTAGTGTCTGATTCATGAGATGGTGGGTACAAGTTACAACCCTAGGTATAATCCTTGGACAGAACATAGTGAGGCCTTAGTAAATAGTCCCTATAATGGGAGGCATATGGGTTACTTTCATACTAGTTAATTTTGAGTCCGATTTTGTTTACACTTGATAGTGTATGTGAATAAAATAAACTCTGATTGGTTAAAATAGTGGATTTTTTCATTTTAAATGGGTCTATCGAACTTTAAATAGAGTGTAGTATACTATTTCAACTAATCACAATGTGTGTTTTGTTCATACATTTTTTAATGTGTTTGAACAAAATAATTTTCATTAATATTATGATTGTCTTGTTAATTTGATAGCTGTAATTTCAATTGCATTAATTTTGCTCTCTAATTTTCTGAATAGTTAGTTTAATCCATTTCTAATTTGTCTCTCTCTCCAGATAACAAATTTTAGTCTATCATCCAAAAATTGGACATTGGTGTAGCCCTTCTAGCAAAGGGTGTTTATTATAACCCTAATGACAAAAAAAGATGTTCTTGTAACAAAAGCCAATGGCACCCACGTGTGTCTCGCACATGCACTTGGTAGGAGAATTGGATGACAAAATCCATCAATGTTCCAAACATTAGAGATGGATGGTTTGGTGAGTAGTCTCGAGTGTCTTCGGTGTTAAAAACACAATAAATTTTATAATGATTTATAGAAAATATAACGGAAGACTGAAATTAGATATAGGTATGAAAAGATTTACATTTAGGACTTACTATTATATATTTTTTGTAATTTATTCTATATTTTAATTTTGTATTCTTAGGAGTATTTTGGGAAGTAGATTAAAAGCCACTTCTCAGCTTTTAATCCACTTTCTCTCTCATAAAAAAAGCTAAAAAATAAAGAGAAAAAAAAAAACCAAAAAAATCAACTTTGAATTATCTTCTCAAGACAACCCTTAATATTAGCGATTTCAGTGAATGTGACATGAGATTGCAAATGGTTTGAACTGCACAGTATGGGTCTCAGTCTATCAAGAAGTTTTAAGTTTCTTATCTTGAAAGCCAAGTGGGGAAGCGATCCTTTTAATAAGTGCTTTTCCTACTTGCGGGGATGCTTTGATCCCTAGAATGGGGACCTCTTTGAGAGACAAGAACATGAATGCTATTTTTTATTGCTACGAAAAGTAATTCCCATTCAAACTTCAAAGGACCTTTTGGTCCTACCATTCTTCCAAGGATGGAAAAGTTTGGAAAAAAAAACATTATAATAAATAACATTAAAATTAAACATAAAATTAGATGTAGAAAATATGTTGATGGGCAAGATTTTTAAGAGTTGGCTTCTCATTGAATTGAATGGGTGCATGCAATATGCCCCTTTAAGCCCACTACATGCTATCTTTTAAGAATTTAATCATTTTTTTTTTCTTGTAAAATTTTGTGTATTTGAAGGAGGTTCCATAGTGGGCTTAAAGCCCCCGACTACACCTTTGTATTTCATTTAGTCTACCGTCAATTAGAGAGAAATTAAGATTACGTTTGGTAGAATTTTCTAAATATGATTTAAAAATATAATTGTATTTTGAGTTTATGAGTTTTGAAATTATGATTTGAATATAGAAAATTTATTTGGTTATGGTTTTTGAATAGAGTGTTGAATTGAGTTTTGAATTGTGTGTGGAATTGAGTTTTGAAAGTTTGATATGACATGTAAAATAAGAAAATTTATTTGGTTATGAGTTTTGAAAATAATTTTCAAAACTTAATTCAACCTATAATTGATAATCAAACACACAACTCACAACTCGATTAAAATTTTTGATCAACAGTTATAATCAAACTATTTTTAAAATTCAATGAAAAAATTGAATTATTATTTTTTTTTTCAATTAATTTTTTTTAAATAATTTTTTTTTCAAATAATTTTTTTTCCCAATAATATTTTTTTCAAATAACTTTTATGTTAATTAATTTACTCTAAAATTAATTTTTTAGTCCTAAATAAACATTTTATTCTATACGATTCTAATATTTTTAAAATATTTTGTTCAAACCAACACATTTGGGGATTACTTTTTTATAAAAATTAACAAAACTAATTTATTAATTTTTTTTTAAATACAAACCAAAACGTAAACGTTACCAAATGTTTCACCAAACATTATCAATGTTTTTTCATTTGTTAAATTTTATCAATTTAATAAAAAAAAACATTTTATCTTATACCGTTTTCCTCAGCTTCATTATTGTCCCTCACCCTTGCCTCACCTGTGAAACTCATATTAGTGGGATTATTGATTGATGTATTTGACTATGAAATGACTAAATTGCCCCTCTTTCATAGAATGTCAAATTGCTATGTAAGTATAAAATGAAAAAGGCAATATCATAATTTCACTCATGCAGTAGACCCCTCCTCCTCTGCTAGTTCCATAAAAGAAAAGAAAAGAAAAAAAAGCCAAAACTGAGCCATAGATTGTCAGTGGTCAGTATTCGATAAAAGAAAAAAAAAATAAAAAGAGCAATTATAGCTATAGATTTTTTTTTTTTTTTTTTGACCATTTCTGGAACTAAGGCTTTATATAAGTCAGCAACTTCATTTGTTTAACTACACCATCTTGACCATCAGAAAAAAAAAAAGCCAAAACTGAGCCACAGATTGTCAGTGGTCAGTATTCAATAAAAGAAAATAAAAATAAAAAGAGCAATTATAGCTATAGATTTTTTTTTTTTGTTTTTTTGTGACCATTTCTGGAATTGAGGCTTTATATAAGTCATCAACTTCATTTGTTTAACTACACCATCTTAACCATCTTCATTCCAACAACTTCAGCAACTTCTTCACCATACAACCACCTCCTCCACCACATATCTCAATTAACTTGACAACCAATATTCAATATAGATATCTGTGTAAAAGAAGAGGCGAAGAGCTTTTATAAGAGGTTAGTTTGAACCAGAGTTTCATATTCTTAATAGCTTCACAATTTCAAAGCTGAGCTACACAAAGCCGAATATTTCAGCAAACAGGTCGACGCGAAGGACAATCAACGGGTCATCCGACCAGTCAACCAGCTTCACACCAACCTTCCACCGCCCGAGGCTCAATTTGGCTATCTGTTGCTTTTTTTTTTTTTTTTTTTTTGGCACACTTTTTTGGCACACCATTTTCATACATTTTGCTATACATCTTTCATGCATTTTTAATACATTTTCCTTAACTTTTGCAGTCATCTTACTTACCTTCATAAGTCATTTTGATACATTTTTCTTAACTTTTACAGTCATTTTACTTACCTTCATAAGTCATGCCGAGAACAAAAAGAGCTAGACTCGAACGTGGCGAAACCTCTAACCCTTCACAATCTCAATAACAGCAACAACAGTAGACCTATCCAACTATTGATTTTCTAGCATACAATCACGAACAAACTTATTCAAATTTTGCCAATCGACCAATTGTTACCGGGAGAAGGGTAAATCTACCTTCTCAATATAATCCTCTATTGCTTGGTAGATTGGAGACGATGGCATGGTTACCTTTAACTAATTTACCACAAAAGGTATATCCCCGT